GGGGGGGACACAGCACCTCCCCAGTACAGCACCCCCTGGTGCCAGGGTGGGGGACACAGGCACAGCCGGGCATCCTGCCCCCCACCTGCCCATGTCCAGCCCCTGCTAGCCCAGCCCTGGGCAGTGCCTGGCACTTGTGCCAGTTTCTGCTAATTGTCACCCCGTGAATGGCAGCTGCTGCCAAAGGAGACCCCCCAACTCACTGCACAGGTCACCGCTGAGTGCCCCCCTCCCCACCCGCTCAGCTGGACGCTGCCCCAGCCCCCTGCCCCAGCCCCCGGCTGCCTCTGGCCCAGTCGGGCCCTAGCCGGGGCTGACCCTGGGGCGCTCTGCGGCCAGAGCCAGCCTGGCTGAAGAGGAGGGAACAGGAATCCAGGCGGTTACACAACAGCAGGTGCCCTGCCCTGGAGCAGCGAGACCAACACGTGCCACAGCGCCAGCCCCAGTGCGCACAGCACAGAGCCAGCCCGGGGCCTGGCCTCTGCCATCAGGGGCCCGGGGCAGGGCTGTGGGGGAGCTCCCGGCTACACCAGTCCCGGCCCGGGGTGCTGTGGGGGGCAGGGCAGGGCTGTGGGGGGAGCTCCCGGCTACTCCAGTCCCGGCACAGGGCGCTGGGGGGGCAGGGGGCTGGCTGGGGGGGGAGTTCCCAGCTACTCCAGTCCCGTCCTGGGGCACTGTGGGGGGCAGGGCAGGGGGCTGGCTGGGGGGGGGAGAAGAGCCCCTGGCTACTCCAGTCCCAGCAGGGGGCACAGTGCAGGACAGTGGCATACACTCTCATTGCCGTGTCTGTGAGGCTCGTGGTGTGGGGCAGGGGAGCTGTGGCTGCAGAAGGGGCAGTTGCTGGGGCTCTTGGCCCAGCATGGCACCCACACTCCAGTCTTGCAGCGGGAGGGGAAGGTCGGCAGCACCTCTGCAAACCCCGCACTGTGCCTAGCTCTGCCTGGAGCCAGCCCCCTCCCGGCGCAGGGTGTAACAGACCTGCCGTGGGGCTGGGGGCACCGTGGGTGTGCAAGGCACAAGCCCAGGGCCGCTGGAGCCAGGTGCAGGGCTCCCCAAGGCCCAGCCTTCTCTCTCCAGCAGGCCTGTGCCCTGCCCCTCAGCATGCTGCGGGGGAGCCTGGCAGGCCACTCACCTGCCCCAGGCCTCAGAGCAAAGGGTGCAGGAGCCGATTTTGACCCAGGTGCCCCTGGGTGCCAACAGGGAGGGGCCCAGAGAGGTGCACAGGGTTACAAGGAGCTCCTGTGTCTGGGGTGCACGTCCTAGTGCACCAGAGACTGGCACGGGAGGGCTCCAGTGACAGCCTGTGTCTCACTAGTCTCCAACCTGTGTGTGAAATGCACGTACAGATCCCACGGGAGGGGTCACAGCCCTACCCAGCAGCCATGCTCGCCAGGCCTGCGGCTGTGGGACGAGAGCCGCCCACCTGTAAATGGAGGAGTCTCCTTCCCAGGCTGAACCGAACGCTGACGCAGGAGCGTGAAAAGGGCAGAGAAAAGTACCGGGAAGACGTACACAGCTGGGGGGCAGACCACGATTACCAACTTTCTAATCACACAAAACCAAACATCCCTGCCCCACCCACGCCACTCACTATCCCCCACCCCCACTCACTTTCACTAGGCTGGGGCCTGGGGTTGGGGTGTGGGAGGGCTCCAGGGTGGGGCCAGAAACGAGAGGTTCAGGGCTGGGGTTTGGGGTGCAGGCTCCAGCTGGGGGTGTGGGCTCAGGGATGAGGGGTTTGGGCTGGGGAGGGCTCAGGGGGTTGTGGTGAGGACTCTGGGAGGGAGTTCGGGTGCGGGAAGGGATTCCAACCTGGGGCAGGGGTTTGGGGTGCAGGCTTCACCTACCTCAGGCAGCAGCGCAGCGGGGCTAAGGCAGGTTTGCCCTGGCCCCGCACTGCTCCCGGTAGCGGACGCTGTCTGGCCCCTAGACCAGGGGTCGGCAACCTTTCAGAAGTGGTGTGCCGAGTCTTAATTTATTCACTCCAATGTAAGGTTTCGCGTGCCAGTAATACATTTTAATGTTTTTAGAAGGTCTCTTTCTATAAGTCTATAATATATAACTGTGACGAACTGGGACTGTTCTTACTGTGGTCTTTGAATGCTGACAGGGGAGTGTGGCTGGGACGGTCTGCATTGGGGGATGGGAGACTGACCGAAGGAGAATACCTGAGCATGTAACATGAGAACCCAGGAAGGAGTGAGAGGCCAGGTGACACCTTTGCCCGGGAAACTGAACAAAGGCTGTGGGAGGGGTCGCTGAAGGCAGTTTCAGGAGCTGGCTAGTGACCATGGCTGGGAGGCAGACGGGGCTCTGACCTCCCAGGGGGGCTAGGGTGCCCGGGGACCCCAAGATGGACCTAACTGAGGGGGTCCTGTTGTCTGCGCCTGCAAGACCTGTCTTGGACTGTGTTCCTGTCGTCTAAATAAACCTTCTGCTTTACTGGCTGGCTGAGAGTCATGGTGAATCGCAGGACGCCGGTGGTGCAGGGCCCTGAGTCCCCCCATACTCCGTGACAATAACTAAACTATTGTTGTAGGTAAAGTAAATAAGGTTTTTAAAATGTTTAAGAAGCTTCATTTAAAATTCAATTAAAATGCAGAGCCCCCCAGACCAGTGGCCAGGACCCAGGCAGTGTGAGTGCCACTGAAAATCAGCTCTCGTGCCGCCTTCAGCACATGTGCCATAGGTTGCCTACCCCTGGTCTAAACGCAGGGGCAGCCAGGTGGGTCTGTGCACTGCCCACACCTCCCTTTGGCTGTGGTTGCCGGCCAATGGGAGCTGCGGGGGCAGTGCTGGGGGGCGGGGGCAGTGCACAGAGCTTCCCTGATTGCCCCTCCACCTAGGGGGCGCAGGGACTTGCTGGCCGCTTCCAGGGCGCAGTGCGGTGCCAGGACAGGTAGGGACTGGCCTGCCT